TCCATGTGGTCACCAAGATGGCCACCACAAGATGGCTGGCAGGGGAGGGCAGTTGTGGGCAATCAGGCCAGCAGGGGAGGGCAGTTGGAGGAGACCAGGCCTGAGGGGATGGCAACTGGGCCTGCACGGGAGGGCATTTAAGGGTGACCAGGCTGGCAGGGGAGAGCATTTGGGGGCAACTGGGCCGGCAGGGGAGAGCAGTTGGGGGCGACTGGGCCGGCAGGGGAGGGCAGTTGGGGGTGACTGGGCCAGCAGGGGAGCAGTTAGGCATTGATCAGACTGGAAGGTGAGCCGATAGAGGGTGATCAGGAAGGCAGGCAGAAGCGGTTAGAGGCAATCAGGCAGGCAGGCAGGTAGGTGAGCAGTTAGGAGCTAGTGGTCCCAGATTGTGTGAAGGATATCCAACTGCCGGTTTAGGTCCAATCCTTGGGGAATGGGACATCCCCCGAGGGGGTCCCAGATTGGAGAGTGTGCAGGCTGGGCTGAGGGACACACACACCCCAGTGAATGAATTTTGTGCACTGGGCCTCTAGTATATAATAAAGAGCTAATATGCTAATTAGACCAAACAGCAGAATGGCTGTCCGGTTGGCCTTCCAGACAAAGCCAGTACTGCAAGGATGGCCGAGGCTGCGAGGGGCTGCGAGGGCCCGCCAAGGCTGGGAGGGACTGTGAGTGCTGAGCCCTTTGCATGAATTTTGTGCATTGGGCCTCTGGTATTATGTAATGATGAAAACATTTCCAAACATTGTTTTTTAAAAATATTCTCTTTATAGTTTTTCTGAAACAAAAGTTACTTTCTCACTATTCCCTTTGCCTTAAAGGGGAACAGACTAAATATCTTTATCCTTCTTTAGAATATATGGTTGCTAGCATACTACTCACAGTTTTTTGGCATGACCATTCCCCTGCCTCAAATGCAAAGCCATCGTTTTGGAACACTTGTCTTTTTTTGTAAAATGGAAAATGAATGCATATCACTTTTAATTGTTAGAAAAATAATTAAATGATTTTTGAATGGTTAAAAAGATTTTTATGGACTCTTATTTCATTCAAAACGTGAGGTAGATCCTGCTCTTTAAGGTAATATACCTAGTTCACTGAACTGGCACATGTAAACAGTTTTCTGTAAAAGAACAAGGAATTGAAGTAGGTGCCACTGTCATCTACTATAATTTGTAGAACTCTTGGTCTTTCCTTAAATTGATTACTTTGTGTGTGTGTACAGATGTAATGTGTGTGTGTGTGTGTGTGTGTGTGTGTGTGTGTGTGTGTGTGTGTGAGAGTGAGTGTACAGATGCAATACAGAGCCAATGAGAGTAGCAATGTGAAGGCTGTACCAAATATTAGTAAAGCCTAATCTCTGTGTTAGGTAAGATGTGAATACAGGTAGAAATTTTAATATTTGCTTTGAGTGTCCCATTAATGTGCTATTCTTACTGCGACCTCTTCCAGTGGTGTGCCTTCCCCATTTTGAAGACCACTCTGATTAAGAAATTGCAAATATAGTCATTTAAATTTACTTTGGTGTCTCAGTTCCAAGAACGCAATATTTTGTTTAGAATAAAGTTGATGGCTCTTGAGGCTTGAGGATGGGTTCATGGTGGTTTGTTGTACTAATAGAGCGAGAGACCCAGACCTGCCCTGCGCAAGCCGAGGGACCCCAGACCCACCTTGTGTGAGCTGTGGGCCCCCAGACCTTCCCTGCGTGAGCCATGGGACCCACCTCTTGCTGCGTGAGCCCCGCCAGCCCTGCATGGCCCAGCGCCTTGACAGCCCATGGGCCGGGGGGAGGGACTGAGAGGTGCTCCAGCACCTCCTGATGACCAGTTGTTTGGTTGTTCCACATTAGGGCGTGATGGCCACAGGCCTTTTATAATATAGACTCCTTCTACTTTTGCTTATGCTTGAAAATTTCCATAATAAAAAGTTTTTTAAAATTTAGGCTGCCTCACAGTGACCAAAAGCGGAAATGTGGGAAAGAATCAGGCTCTTTGCATTACTTTTCTTCTTTATCAAATATGAACATCTCTCCTAGAACTCTCCCAATAGATTTTCTCTTATGGTTCATTGGCTTGAACTCACAAGACTCTTTCCCCTACCCAATCCACTTCCAACCTCAACATATCCTTTCAAAAATTTCCTTCGTGAATATCAAAGCTAAATTTGTAAATAAAGAATACTGAGGCTTGTAAAATATCCTTTCTTCTTGATATTATTATAAGTCATTGATATGCTGTTTGTTACTGCCTTAGTATTTTAAAATATAATTGTATATATTTTTATAAGCTGCCTCAAGTGTTTTGTGGGATAAATAAGTAGTGATATAAATAAAAACAAGCAGAGAAACCAAGATAGCAGCCAAGGTAAACACCTGAACTTGCCACCTTGCACAACAACTTCAAAACTACAACTAAAAGTCAAAGTAGACATCATCCATCCAGAACCACAGGAAGACTGGCTGAGTGGAAAGTCTACAACTAGAAGCAAAGAGAAAAGCACACTGATTCTCAGAGGAAGTGCGAAAGGCAGAGGTACCGAGGCGCTTGCACCCACTGGGTGGGCTGGCTACCGAGTACGCAGCTGGCTTTTTCAATCTGAAGGGAGACACAAGCTCCCGACTGCTCTCAACTCCAGTTCGGATGAGACTCTGGCGACCCAGACTCATACGGTGCGAAACTGGACTGTCTGGAGGCAGGCGGAACTCGAGGGTGGCTTTCTCTCAGAGGTGCTTGCAATGATTACCGCTGGACACTGAGACCCAGGGGTCTCTTAGGGCAGGGCTGATGGGAAACCATTGTCTTAGAGCAGGGCAGATAGGAAACCTGGTCACCCAACGGCCCTCCTCTGTCAGCTGCTGTTTGCTCCACCCTGAGACTCTGCCCCATCCTAGTTGTGGTAGAGGCTTTTGCATATGAATGGCCTGGTCCTTTGAATTCTAAACTTACCTATCAGACTACAGCTGAGTCAGAGAGACCCACAACATCCAAAAGAAGGCCTGAGGCCCCACAGCAGCTTGCATTGCTTCATAGCTGGGCCTCATCTGGGCACCTCCAAACCCCAAACAAAGAAGAGGAATCTGCAGATATCTCTGTAGCTCCTGCTGGATGGCCTCAAGCAGAGGCTAAATTTGCACCTCCTTGGAGATTCAAGAACCAGTGTACCCAGGGGTCAGAGTAGGACCAACCAGATTACAACTCCTCAGATCCATAAGGGACACACTCAGGGGACAGACTCGGTGAGCACCAAAGCCCCACCAAAGCAAGTCTTGTCTCATAAGGGTGTCTCCAGCACAGAAGTTCTCCCTTCGTAGACACAGCTGATCCTCACAGCCAATTAGCCTGGAGGTCAATTCCTCCCAGTGATACCAACAATAATCAAGGCTTAACTACAACAAGACTGTACATACAGCCCACAAAGGGGTGCACCAAGAGTGTCTACCTCAGGTAACCGAGGAGGCTGAGCCACTGGGTCCCATAGGACACCTAGCACACAAAGCCATTCTATCAACTTGGAAGCAGCCAAAATGCAGAGACAAAGAAAGAAATGGAGGAAAGCAAACTATTGGATATAGAGTTCAAAACCACAGTTATAAGGTTTTTCGAGAATTTTCTAGAAAGGCCAAAAAATTTAGTGAGACCCCAAGGATATGAAAAAGGACCAACTAGAAATTAAGCGTGCAGTGACAGAAATAAAAAAGAATATTCAGAGATCCAACAGCACACTAGAGGATCATAAGAATCAAGTCAGAGGTTTAAAATACAAAGAAGCAAAAAACACCCAACCAGAAAAGAAAAAAGAATAAAAAAAAATATGAAGATAGTGTAAGTAGCCTCTGGGACAACTTCAAGCATACCAACATCTGAATTATGGGGGTGCCAGAAGAAGAGAGAGCTCAAGATATTGAAAACCTATTTGAAGAAATAATGACAGAAAACTTCCCCCACCTGGGGAAAGAAATAGACTTACAAGTCCAGGAAGTGCACAGAACCCCAAACAAAAGGAGTCCAAAGAGGACCACACCAAGACACATCATAATAAATATGTCAAGAGCAAAAGACAGAGAATATTAAAAGCAGCAAGAGAAAAACAGTTACCTACAAGGGAGCACCCATAGGACTGTTAGCTGATTTCTCAACAGAAACTGCAGGTCAGATGGGAGTGGCAAGAAATATTTAGTGATTTATAGCAAGAACCTACAACCAAGATTACTCTGCCAAGCAAAGCTGTCATTCATAATTTAAGGTCAGATAAAGAGCTTCACAGATAAGAAAAAGCTAAAGGAGTTCATCACCACCAAACCAGTATTATATGAAATGTTGAAAGGTATTCTGTAAGAAGAGGAATAAGAAGAAAAAGGTAGAGATAAAAATTATGAACAACAAATACATGTCAATCAACAAGTGAATCTAAAAATCAAGTGAATAAAAAATCTGATGAACAGAATAAACTGGTGAATACAATAGAATTAGGGGATAGAAAGGGAGTGGACTGACAATCCTCAGGGGGAAAGGAATGTGGGAGTTGTGGGAAGAGACTGGACAAAGATTTTACACTTATGGATGAGGTCAGTGCGGTGGGGAAGGCGGGCGGTAAGGGCATGGGGTGGGTTGGGGTGGGGTGGGGTGGGAACCAGGCGGAGGGGAGTTATGGGGGGAAAAAGAGAGGAACAACTGTAATTATCTGAACAATAAAGATTTAAAAAAAATAAATAAGAGTATAAATAAATAAATAAATACAAGCAAATGATAGATGTTTGATTTTTGGTATCCTTTTCTCTTCCAACTAATGAGATATTGCATTCTTATAGATGAGACAAAAACTATAAAATGGATTAGTGAAATCTGTTGGAATAAGTAAAGAGTAGCATTTTATGTTCAGAAGTCCATTTCAATTTTCAGGTATCAAAATAGAGCATTATTTTCTTCTGAAATGTTATTTTTAGCTTTAAACTTCTTGTCAAATAGTAGTATTAATCTCTATTTTTCCTTTTTTTCAAGATATGGCATATATGAACGTTGCCGAGAATTGGTGGAAGCAGGTTATGATGTGCGACAACCAGACAAAGAAAATGTCACACTTCTCCATTGGGCTGCTATCAACAATAGAATAGATTTAGTCAAGTACGTATTTTCTGTATTTTTAAGTAGTATTATAAAAATATTAGAACTTATAAAAATTAATAATTTTTAAACAATGATAGCTTTTAAAATGGAGATTCTATGTACCTTTTCCCTGAGTTTTGTTTTTTAACATATATTGAATTAATGTGTCATACTGAGCTGAGTACTTTTCCATGTATATTTCCTTTAATTTTAATTCCTAACTAGCCTTGTATGAAAAATAATGACTACTGTTATCCAACAATGTGGAAACTGAAGCATAATGAGGTTAAATACTCTAATGATGACAAACAGCTAATAAAGGTTGGAGTCAGGATGTTAACTCCAGCAGTCCACCTTTTAGATCACATTTTAAATATGAATTTTATAGGGAAGAGTTACAAAAGAAATGAGAGGGGTTAAAAAGATAACTGATAATAATATTCTGATTTAACTATTCAGACTAGTATAAGTGATGAATACATATGAAGTATAAAATGATTTTTATTACTGTTAATCTGCTGGTTTAGTATCATTAACAGGTAATTAGATAAGCAAGTCAGATGATAGAAATCTTAGTAAATCTGCTTTAGTAGTCATAATTTGGACGTAAGACCTTTAAATAAAGACGAAATTGAAAAGAACTGCTTGCAAGTGTGCAGTTAAATACAGCACACAGAGTCTAAAGTCAAGTAAGATTTAATGTCACATAAAACATGGGGGAGGAGGGCAATGGTAAGTAAAATATGTACACATATAATACCTTAATAAAAAAAAGTCATAAAATAATTTATTTGTACCTAGAGTTCTAAAGAAAGATTAAACAAGTGATATCTAAAGCATTGAACTGCATGAATCACTTTCTTCCAGAGAGCATATTTTTCTTTTTTTCCTTTATGTATCTCTAAATACATATTTTTCTTTTTTTCTTTTTTTCCTTTATGTATCTCTCTTCCCTTTGCTTTCAGTATGGGCCTCCTAACATCTAATTCTGTTTTGCTTATGGGAAAACTTTTTTTGTGTGTGTGTGTGTGTGTGTGTGTGTGTGTGTGTGTGTTTAATCCTCACCCGAGGATATACTTACATTGATTTTAGTGAGAGAGGAAGGAAGAGAGAGAAAGAAACATCAGTGCAAGGGAGAAACATTGATTGGTTGCCTCCCAAAATGTACCCTGACTGGGGATTGAAACTACAACCTACGTATGTGCCCTGACTGAAATTGAACCCAGAACCCTTTGGTGGATTGGATGACCCTCCAACGCAGGAAAATGTTTTTAATCTTCATTAGTGAAGGAAATTTTCACATAGTATAAAAATCTAGGTTTTTGTTTGTTTTATTTAAAAATATTCCACTGTTTTCTGGCTCCTTTTACTTTTGATAAATCAGTCTTAAGTATTGTGCGTATAGAGGCTTTCTTTTTTCCTGGATGTTTTAAGATTTTTGTTCCTGTTTTTTTTGTTTTGTTTTGTTTTGCAGTTTCATGATGATGTATGTAGGTGTGGATTTAAAAAAAATTTACCCTGAATGACATTGCTCAAAATTTTTGGATTGTATGGATTGATGTTTTCATCAGTTCTGAAGAAATCTCAGTCATATTTCTTCAAATATTTCTCTGGCCCATTCTCTTTTTGGTCTCTTTCTAGAAAACCAGTTAAATGGATGCTTGACCTTTTCATTGTAGACTGCTCTTATCCACTCTTCTATGTGTGTGTTTCTCCTTTTGTCTCTGCTTAATTCTGGAAACTTTTGACTTATCTTGCAGTTATTTATTCTCTGTTTATGTATTATCTGCTGTTAAATATATAATATATTCCTTGTGTTTCTAATTTTGTTTATTTTTAAGTTCTATAATTAAAAAAAAAAACACACACACACAGAAAACAATGTGATACTTAAATATTTGTTCCTGAAATTTTATATCTTGTTTTATATACTTGGACATAGTAAATTTAGTTTCTTTATAATCTGTGTCTGAGAATATATAGCATTTTGAGTCTGTGTGGGTCTGTATCTGTTATATTATTGTGTGCCTGACTATCTTTGATTATGTATTAGACATTGTGTTTGAAAAATTATTTGTTGAATAAGTTGAGGCCTAAGATGAGAAGATTTCTACTAGTATTTATTTACACTAGCCCCAACTTTAACTTAATTTTAAGGCTTTAGATTTTCTGGATCACTCAAGTGGCTGAAGACCATGCTAAAGCTAGTTTTATTTCTGGTTCTTAATTATTACTACAGTGCAGCTTTTTGGAGTCCCAGCCCTTGTCTCTAAGGCAGATGGTGTCCAAGTGGTTTTCTGACTTCTCTAGGTTTTAACCCTTTCCTGAATCTTGGCCTGCTGTGTGCTCTTATTTTTGTTAGGCTTTGCTTTTTTTAGGAAATGTTTTTTAAATTTCATTGAGCTTTTTAGTTTCTTTAATGGGAGGGTTGACTCAGATTATCTAGCCTTCCACAACCTCTGTAGTTTTTCAATTAATACATTTTAATCAAAATAGTACATAAATGATTTGGAAAAAATCCCAAAATGTATTTAAAAGGTTACAATGGGAAATAGCAATACCTCCCCACTCTCTGAGTCCTGAATCCCCAAAATAACCCATTTCAATACTTTAGCTATTTCTTTCAGTATTTACTCTAGTATTTTATATATTTGTATTGTTAGTTTTATCTAAACTGTTATTTTCTTTACACAAATGATAGTAAACACTATTCTGCCTTTTCATTTAATTTATATATATTTGAGATTTTCCAGATTAGTACAAATAGAGTTGCATTATTCTTTTTTTAAAACTATGTAATATTCAATTATATGGATTTAATTCATGAATGGTTTTCCTGTAGTTGATTCTGGTGTTTTTACTAGTACAGTGCTGTATTTGTTCACATATCTTTGTGCTTATGTTCATATCTATCTGTAGAATTCTTAGGAGTAAGAAAGCTTGAAAGATGAATTTTGAATTTTAATGAATATTGCCAACTTCTATACTGTTATTTTTTTATTTATCAGTTATTATATTTTGACTTTCTGCTGTGGGATAGCTAGATATCTTAGATCACCTCACCATGAATACTTCTTCCTTCACCTCTGTGGGCATAGATTTGGTTAAATCACTATGCAAAATTAAATTGTTAGTATGTAAATTCTCACTGCTAACCCCAGGAGTCTTCTATGATTATCTGTTCTTTCCTGTAGAAATCTGTTTTTTTGTCTGAAGTAACAGTTCCTTCATTAAAAAAAAATAAAATTATATCTATCTATCTATCTATTTATCTATCTATCTATCTATCTATCTATCTATCTATCTATCTATATTGATTTCAGAGATGAAGGAAGAGGAAGAGAGAGATAGAAACTCCCATGATGAGAGAGAATCATTGATCAGCTGCCTCCTGCAAGTCCCCCACTGGGGATCGAACCCACATCCCTGGCATGTGCCCTTGACTGAACTCGAACCTGGGACCTTTCATGCTCTATCCACTGAGCCAAACTAGTTAAGGGCCAGTTGCTTCATTTTTAAAAATTTGTTCAATTTGTTGTATGTCATAACTAATTCTTACTATACTCTTAGAACTGTAAAACCCCTCTATATGCAAATAATATGAGATCATTTATTAGTTCTTCCTGGATTTCCATCTTTCTGCTCCTGCCCAGACTGTTTGCCCTTTAAAGCTACTGTACAACAGTTGTCTTGAGACTTTCCTTTACTATCATCCTGATAAATCCCTTTGCTCCAGGATTGGTCTCAGTTTCCTGATCTCAGGTTTTTATCTTTATTGCTTTGCTCCCTGGTTTTAGTAAGAGCACATTTCTTGATAGCTTGCTGAGGGAGAGAATGCTTGGGAGATAGATGTTTTGAAGTTACAATATCTCCCGACCTTATACTTTTATTGGTTGGTTGTCTGAACATAGATTTCTAGATTAAAAGTCATTTTCTCCAAATTTTAAAACATTACTTTGCTATTTTCTTACTTCAAGTATTATAGTTGAGATATGTTTGATTTCATTTTATTGATAAAAAATTTACTTTTATCTTGTGTTTAGAAATATATAAGAAAGTTTGAAGTGAGAAATGCAGATAAAAAAATCTTGATGCTGCATGCCTTACAAATTGTTCCAAACCACACATGGAAGTGTGGGGTTACAAAATAAAGTCAGTAAACTATAGAGTGAGTTAAAAATCACAGTGTCTGAGTAATATTATATTTCCAGGTAGGTAAGCTTAATTTGTTACAGCACATAGTCTATTGAATTACTTTCCTAAAACAAACATCTGCTGAGTAAATACAGTTTTCCTAACAACTGGTATTCATAGCCTCAAGATTAATTTTTTCTATTGGGTTTTAAATTACCCCCTACTTAAAAATTCCAACATATTACTTCTATTTCATGGATGCTGGCAGAAGATACATGGTCAATTAGAGACAAAGGACTTGATTATTCACTTTTGTGTTTAGCATGAACATAGTATTTGCATAGGTCCCTCTTGCTCTTTAGGTCCTATAAGAGTGGCTTGATGGATGCTGCATCCAGATGGATGCAGCACACACAGTGGGTTTGTGTTGCAGCTTGGGGAATTCATTGCTTTTATAGTAATTGGTAAGCAAGCTTGCTCTTTGTCCCAAAGGAAGACGTCACCTGATCTCTAAAGGCTGATCAATGTAAACACGACTAGGAGAAATGACCTATGTAAAGAGTGGGTAGGGCCTTGCAGTTTTGGTATACTTAGCAAGATATGGGAGCACAAGAGACCCATGGCCCAGTGTCTCTTCCTACAGTTAACATTTTATCAGAATGTGTATTAAAGGAACTTACCACAAGCAAAGTATAGTTGGGTCACCTTCATGATGATGAAATATAAAGTAAATGTACTTTGGAAAGGAGGAGATACTCAGCCTGGATAGGTTTATATTCCTAATTAATGTCTTCAATTGAAAGTTTTTCGACTATTTTTCAGCTTTTACCCTAATGAAATAAAATAGAAAAGATTAGCTCAACCTCTTGTCTTCAACAGTCTGT